GTGGAGGAGGAGGAAAGCTCGAAGGAGGGCAGGACCATAACGGTCGGGTTGTTCTTATCGTTGATGTGTGATCGGTAGGTGGACGACGAGAGGATAGTGTGAGCATTCAAGGACGGTAAAAAATCGATGTCGAGGTAGAGGACGAACTCGGTAGGGGACTGGTTGAGGGCGAGGTTGCGGAGCGAGTTGATCGGGTAGAGGAGGTCGTAAGGGTGGTAGACGTCCCGCCTCATCACGGGGTCGATTATGGCCTTGCGGCGGGAGTTAGTAGTAGCGTCGAGGACGTCGAAGTTGAGAACGTCGTCGTGGTCCGGCTGAGCCTCGCTGGGGTCGACGAGGAACTCGACGCCGAAGAGGAGGGAGATGGTCACGAATTTGCCGCGGCCCAGCCCGGAAAGATAAGACTTCAGCATCTCGAGCGTGGTTCGGAGCGCCTGGAGCTCGTCGAAGGAGTCGATGTAGATGGCGACAGAGACAAGTCCACCCCATCTAAGTATCAATAAAGGTCAGGCACGGTATTGGAAAACTGTCCTATCATAAAGTTTTGCTCACCTTTCCACCAACTCTGGAATAAGGTGCGCCCTGTCTAAGCTCGTTTGCGTAAACACCGTAATGGTCACCGGGTCGTCGTCCTTCATGTTCTTCTCCGAACCTCCGCCGTTGAGCGGCACTTGGTATGTGCCGTCATGGTCCCCATTCTTTGAGTCCTCCCACACCCTCCTCACACTGCTCCCCGTCCGCTGCGACAGCTTTTTTTCCCACTTCGGATCCCCGAACGTCAGATGCGGCGCCGAGGTGATGTACGGGATTCTCGTCGTGCCAGCGTAGACACCGTCATCGTCCTCCAGGGTCGTGAGTCTCGGCCGGCTTTGGCTCCCGCTCGCACTCCCACTCCGCTGCGAACTCCCACTCCGCTGCGACGACTTTTTGTCGGACGCCGACTTGAAAAGCGACCTGAAGTCGCCCGTAAACCCTTGCGGGATCTGGACGTTGCTCTGTGCGAAGATTCTCTTGAAAGAGTCCGAGTCATCCTCGATCCGCTTCTGCGATCGCGAGGCCGAGCTGCTTGAACCCGGGTAGGAAGATGCGCCACCTAATCTCTCCGCCTTCTCCTTCTGCAGCTGCGGCTTTGCGGGCGACGGTGCAGCTGCGGCGAGTTCTGTCCAAGAGAAATAGCAGCACACGATGACGAGCTTCGTGAACCAATACATGATGCCGATATTGAAAGTCAGGAAAAGAGTCGACAGTGACGGCGACGGGGACGTCGACGAGGGCGGAGTGGAGTCAAGGGATCAGGGATAAGGTCTCAGTCCCTTGATAGACTCGCCGATCAAAACAACGGTCAATTCTGCGGAGAGCTGGCACGGAAACCGCTCGCCTCCTCGTTTTCTCTGGTTCTCCCCTGACATATGCTCCTCCTCCCGACCCCGACGGCGACGGCCGCGATAAGAGCCGCTGGACGCGGACTCAGCCGGCGACTCCCGCCCTGTCACCATGACTCACCGCCATGGTTTTCGAAGTCCTCGTCGGCCCCGCTTGCTTCCGCGTTCGCATCGGCCGCCCCGCCTTTCCTCGATCCATCCCCTCCATCCCCTCACCCAACACGATCCACATCGGCCATCTGTAGGCGTCCTCCTTATCGACCCACCGCCAGCTCGCGGCAGCCGAGTGGGTTCCCTTTCCTCCCCTGCCAGCGTCGGTTGTCCTCCAGCTTCTCCAAAGCCACCCCGAACATGACGACAGCCGTCGCAACCGCGACAGCGATAACGACACCAGCGCTCGCGACGGCGCAGCCCACCTTCCTCATTACAGCCGTCTGCAACTTCTCATCCACCGCTTCGAACGACGACAAACCACCCTCGTCACCAAAGCCTGCGAATGCATTGGAGGAGGAGCCACCCGTGAAGGAGGCCCCGCCGCCGCCTCCAGGTCCCACACGGCCGTCCACTCCTCCCAAAGTCGACGTGCCAAAAGAGGTCGAGCGTCCCCCCTCGGCCCATGCGCCGCGCGACGACGAGGTACCCCCCAGCGTGGACCCTCGCTACGTCGTAGATGACATCTACTCGGCCCTACCGCCGTCGACGTTCGACGGGCAGGGCCCCTCACCGATGATGAAGCTAATTGGGGAGGACGGCGCGAAATTCCCGACGCCCGTGTCGCCGAACTCGATGGGGAAGAGCATGACGCTTAAAGGGGTTGTGTTTGACGTGAATGGGGATGTGAAGCTGCTAGACCATCAGTTTAAGAGGGCGCAGTTTTGCGCGGAGAATACGCTGTTGCCGAGGGATTTGACGAAGGTGGGAGCTTTCGGTTTGGAGGCGTCGTATTGATTACGAATGCAGATCGACAGCACGCTGGCCGAGCAGCATCCGGCAATTTTGGTTCGTGAACGGTCGTTGCTTATCAACCTGTCGCACATTAAGGCGCTCATCCGAGGTAATGCGTAGCAGGAACTATTTGCAAGATGAATAATAATTAAACCGTTGCCTCATTTCCAGCCGACAGCCTGATCCTGTTCTCGTCCAATACCTCCATGGATGACGGCGCCGAGGCCTACTTCCAGTCTCAATTCGTTCATGAGCTCCAAGGCAAGCTCCAAGCGAAAGATACCCTCCCGTTCGAGCTCCGCGCGCTCGAGGCCATGCTCATATCCGTCGTGTCCGCTCTCAAGAGCGACCTGGACGACGTGAAGCCCGAGGTCGAGCGGCTACTGGAGGCGATGGATAAGGGGTTTGACCCGGAGATGTTGAAGGCGTTGCTGTTGCATGGGAGGAGTTTGAACAAGCTTGTGCAGAAGGTGGAAGCTATTAGGTCGACTTTTACGGATGTACTGCATAAGTGGGTGTTTTGCGGTCGGTATGGTGATTGGATTTATTTACGTGGCTTATTAGTGATGAGGATCTGGCGGGGATGTACCTTACGGCCAAGGCGGAAAATCGTCCGCATGCCGCTTCCGATCACATCGACGCCGAGCTCATGTTGGAGCATTACTTGAAGCTAGCGGACGGTCAGTGTACATCTTGAGCCACCCATCAACGTTCATTTACTAATTGTCCTCACAGAGATCTCCAGCTCCCTCAACACCCTCTCCTCCAACGTCGTCACGACCCAAAACATGATGGGCATTGTCCTCGACACTCACCGCAACAAGCTAATCGTCTACGACCTAAAGGCCAACATTGCGACCGTCGCCATCTCGACTGCCGCCTTCGTCGCATCCGTTTTTGGCATGAACCTGCCCAACAACATCGATTCCATGCCCGGCGTGTTCTGGATCGTGACGGGTGGCCTGCTGCTGAGTGCGTGCGCGATCTACTTTATGAGTGTGCAGAGGATTAGGATGTTGGGGCATGCAAGGGGTTTATTGAGGGGGATTCACGGGCCGGAGAGGGATCGGAGGCTGATGACGGGGTTTGGGAGGGACCATCATGAGGCGAGGATCGCGGAGCGAGAGGGTCGGTGATTGTGTGAAACCTTTCCGCTTCAGTTTTGTACCTCTCCCTCTTTTACTTTTTTTGCAACATAGATATGTATTTATTTTTCGTCTTCTTGTCCATCGTGTTTGCGTTTCTTTTTTCGCTGGTTGTCTTTGGCCACTCATTGTGTTAGATTACGTAGCGTTCACTTCTTTCTGTTCCCTTGTCTACGGATACCTGTCATCATCTCATACCAAAATATATGCAACGCGCAGCCTCATGGATCACATTATCGGTTGCAACTGCGTCTGCACAGCATAAAGCGTAATTTGACTACCCTCTTAAACATGCACGCACCCGCCTTCATCATCATGTGTGGCCTACATCAGGAGTCGGATCAGTGCCTTCACCATCCATGCAATTCGGTACAAGAAGACGACGGCGGCGATGATGGCCAATATGACGGCCCCGGCGGGGAGCGCGAACTTCATGTTGTCGGGGCGAGCTGGCCACATTATTAACGCGGTTGGGATCCGAAGGCAGTTGTCAGCGCGTATGTCCAGACACCATCTGAATTTGGCGGCGCGACCATAAATTCTCCCACGCGACGACAACCCTATCACGCCGTCGCCCTGCCTCTCACGCCGTCGCCCTGCAATTCTTCCTCATGCCTAAGGTGATCCCTTGGCCGTTGCTGCCTGACTCACGCTTAATGCATGGCATGTAGTCTACGTCGTCCATGGCGTCCGCGAAGATGTCCGCCAAGACGTCCGATGAGGATCAGCATGGCGTAGGACGCCTTATGGAACCAGGAGTGGACAGAATTGACGAGGGAATCATACAGGCTCTGCCGAAGGCAGGTTGCCATGGCGCTACAGGTGCGCGTCGACGATTTGCGCACCTCAACTTTCTTTAACGGTGACTGAAATTAGGACGTAAAGGAGTCTTCTCGGCAGGAGCTCAATAGGATGCCTTGGGACGTAAGTGGCTTGCAGACGGACAAGCGGGTGAGTTCGATTCAGCGTTAACACTTTCTGCCTCCTTGGCGCATTTGTGTCTAAGCAAGGTTTTCAGGTAGAGGCCATCAAGCGCGCGGCGAACGCTATGCACGTCCCGCCAACAGCGCTAGGAGATATCTCAAACCTGCGGTTGACATCAACATCGGCCGCTTCAGCGAATGTATGTGTTAGCCTTACCTGCTCATCAATCTGTTTACCTTCCGCCAACGGGGGTACTCCACGGACACCTCACCTTCGGACACGCGTCGGGACTCGCTCCTGCAACCCTGCGAGGACGAACAAGAGCAAAAGTGGGAGGTGGTGGCCAAGGCATCGGTGTCAGTGAGGCTGGCAGCAGCGGCCCTTGAGTGCTGTTTGCTGTTGAGATATTACGAGTTCTTGATGATGAGTTTTCCATATCATTCATTTTTTATCTGTTGTAATTTTTGGTTGTCCATCGTCGAGTGTAGCAACCTAAGTAGTTTCGCTACGAAAATTTTGAATTAGACACAATTAAAGTGAAGTGGGTCATGCCAGGATGAAAGGGCAAGTTGTTCCAAAATGGCAAGATGGAAAAAAGCGGAAGTGCACAGAGTGGGATTCGAACCCACGCATCTTACGATATGTGAACTTGAGTCACACGCCTTAGACCAGCTCGGCCATCTGTGCGATGATTACCATCGGTACCGCTTGTCTACCTAACCGATTACAAATTGCACTCACCTTGGTAAGTCTTCCAATTGTAGCCTATCCCCGTCGTCAACCGTTAGAAGTCACTTTAACTTCCATAGCATTTTAGCAGCTTATCGCCGGCAATTTAATCACGCCATCATCCGGCACTCATGGATTGCCACAAGTGGGTTGGGATAAGCAATGAGAGTCTATTTACGCCCTCACGGTTGATAACCAGGCCTCCGGCGGGCGCGCAACTCAATCTCGCGGTCGGCGGTCCATTGACAACCAAAAAAAAAAAAAAAAGAAAAGAAGAGAAAAGAAATGCGGCCTTCCCAGTGCAACAGGGCTGTTTTGTCATTTAGAAGGGAAAGCGCGTTTCAGTCTTATGGTGGCTCCAGTGTGCTCTACCTAATTGACGTGAAGTGAGGATGTTGTGAAACAACGACTGAGGGGAAGAAAACGACGCTCCCCCAATTTCCTGGACTGGCGTCGCGGGATAGGGGTTCCTCTTCCACTGCTAAAATATACTAAACTTTTTTAGACGACACACTTCTGCGCTAGCAAGCCGGGCGACAGCAAGTCCCGGGTGGTGTGATACCACTTCCACTCTCTTGTGTCAAATTCACCTCACAATAAGGCGGTAGTTATATATAGTTCGACTTGCTTGCTTGGAAGGCAGCTGACATCGCTGGTGGAGGCGAGACTTCGTCTGTGCAGGCGAAGGCTCTTTGCACCTCCCGCTTTTTTCCTCTGCTGACTCCTGGCCGGCTTTACAAGAATTGCGATGATTACACTTGTGCATTGGTAAGAGCTTTGATAATTACACTTCGTGCATGTCAGTTGCCGATCGTGTCCAGACACGAAGCGAATCTCTTAAGAGACAATTTTACTCCGCGGGCCAGTTTTTTGGTAAATCAAGCCTTAGCCTGTTTTTTCTTCTCATGCGGGTTTTATGTATTTAAAATGGAGCACACGCTGGACCTTAGAAAAATCCCACGTCCTTTTTGACCTTTTCCCGCTTCCACGACAGCATGTTGCTGTAGTCCTCTTTTTTCATTTTGAATATATACTCAAACTCTTCCTCGGAGAGATACATCTCCAGCTTGGTGACGTCGACATTTTCGGGTAAACGGTCGCTAAGGAGAACCTCGGCGGGGTATGTGTCGACCTGTTTATGAAAGCAACAACCCGGTGAATATACGTCACAGCCTTCATTATAAAATCGTACCTTGTATTGCTTCAAGACTTCGTCGACGGGCCTCACACGCACCTTAAGGTTCGTTTTGTCCTTAGGAAACTTTTTCCGCGTCCAGCCTGACGTCAACGACATTAGCCGTCAACCACACGACCGGAACCCTACCTTGGAAGCAACGTGTAAACTCTGGAGGCTCCTGATACGCGTAAGTCACGACTACGGCCGGCTTTTCCTCCCGCAAACCCGCGTACTGCACGATCGCCTCCATGCCGATGACCTTTTCGTTTGTCTTTGAGGTCGGGCCGAACCAGATGAAGATCTGCGGCCCGGCGTCGAGTATCATAACGATGTGCGGGTCAAGGTCCTCTTGAATGTACTGGGGTACTTCCTCAATCTGTCGCGTTATTAGATGTCCATCATGCTACAACAAGAACGTGGCACGTACGGTCACCATCCCTGTGCCTGAGGCGCAGGCGAACAGCCTCGGAATTGACCGCTTTTTCACCTTCACAGTTTCCTCTGCCGCCTTCACTCCAAGCGCTTTGACTGTGTCGTCGAACTCCTTGTCCGCGGCGCCATCGCTCACCACCCTCACCGAATGTTGACTAAACTTCTTCACAACCAATTGGGCGTGATCCCTTTCGGCCTTGTTCGAGAATGACCCCTCCCATACATAACTGACGGAGCGTGTGATGATGACGGAGACGTGGCTGGAGTTGAAGGTCAGCTCCCCGACGTCGGTTTCGATCGCCTTGCACACGCCGGGAAAAGTCATGCGGACATCAAATGCCATTGGGTACTTTTCCGCTTCCGCGTCGACGGAGATGCCAAGACGGATAATAGTACCCAGGTTGCCTAGCATTTGGCAAAGATGAAGAGGCTCTAAAGCTAGATTAATACCTATTGGACGCAGCCACCATTTATACAAATGATGTACCTTTTCCCTCGACAACCCGCGTCTGCGTAACCTCCCCTGAGGTCTCTTTGCAAAGTTCAACCGTCATCATCGCGCTCGTGCCCTTCTCAGTGATCTTGCTTTGAGAACCCTGCCAGAAGTAGCTGACGGACCGATCGATACCGCTCCCTGGCGGGCGGAACGTGTACAAGATAATATAACTCTCGCCACGGAAGAACTGCCCCGACACCGGCTGCCTGACCGGCTCCTTCGCGAAGTCCTTGACAAGAAAGAACTGCGATCTCCCGCCCTTCCCGTTGTCAATAGCCGGGTGCTCGACGACTAAGGGCGTCAGCAGGATTTTCGGGTCGATAGGTTTCTGCTTCACGGCCGCGGCCACGTTGCCCTTAGCATCGGCCATTCTCATGCTGATCGGCAACGTGCCCTCGTAGTCCGCAAACTTCTCCCGGAATACCGCCGTCTCCCTCTCGTGGAATACCCGCTGTACGAAGACCTGCCCCGAGACCTCAACGCGCTCCCGCATTCGAAGCGCGATGTGCCGCGCTAGCACGAGCCCCATCGATCGCGCCTCGGCGTTCGCGCCTTTGCCCGTCCAGAGGAAGACCTCCGCGTAGCTCTCGACCACGACGATGGCCTCGTTCTCGAGCAGCCGCTTGCTCGGGTGATGGCCTTCGTAGATGAGGAAGAAGCGGGACGACCATCTAGGGGCGGTCGGGATCACGCGGTAGATCTTAACGGGGCAGGTGCGGGCCTTGTAGTCATCGTCTGTAAGGTCCGGGAGAGCTGACATCATCGCGTGGTGGTCGACGTGGAGAAGTTCGTAAAAGGCCAAAAGAATGGGTGCATCGTCGTCCTCGACTAGCTGGAGCTTGGGGCGGTTCGACCGCTCTTTCCGAATCCGCGCGGCTACGTCCATCGCTTTGGCCCGTGCCATCCGCGAGGAGTTTACACCATACCAGCGGTAGATGATATTTCCTACAACATTCAAAAGCGCGCATTAGAGTCATTGGCGCAATAATGATTTACCTGTATCAAGGACGAACGCACAATCAGATTTCAAGCTTTGCCACGTGCTCTCGACAAAGCTGATCGTGATCCGGCTTCTCCCCATGACCGCGATCAAAGCCCTATCCTCCCCCTTTCCCAGCCTCCCGTCATCAACAACATGAGCAAGCTTGACATCATCAAACCACCCGGCCTCCGAGTCCGCATTCCTCCCGGACTTCCTCATCTCCGCCTCCAAGCTAGCATCCGTCATCGAGAGCCTCTTACACACGTCGTAGTTCTCCAGCCTAAGCCTCCCGAGCTCCTTGATAAACAAATCCCTCTGTTCCGTCGACTGCGTCGTATGCACAATGGTCGCGCCGCCCTTGTACACGATCTCGAAGTCCACGCCGTCCCTCGCGGCCACGGACGCCCGATTCGTCACCGTCGCGGACCTTGCACGCCCCACGATGCTGGACCGGCTCAGCTCCTTCGCTTGGGAGTGAACGCCGATGCTGGACGAGCTCGAGTCGCGCGACAGGCCGGGCCCACCGGAACTCGGGTCTCGAGAGTAGCCTGCAATACGCTTCCCGACAACGCTGAGCTCCTTCCCATGACCGTCGGCAAGCGCAGAAGCCGCAGACGCCTCCTTTCCATGTCCCCCAACAACGGTAGCGTTTTTCCCATGTCCCTGCATAGAAGAGGCATCCTTTCCAGTCGAAGCCTCCTTCCCATGTACCGGAGCAGTCGCCGCCGCCTCCTCCACCATAGCCGTCGCCGGCGGCACAAATACCCTGACCTCCATAATATCCTCCACCTTTTTAACCTCCACCGCATGATTCTTCGCCTTCGACCTGTAATAACACATCTCCCCATCCACCACATGCATCCAGCACCAGAACACGGTCGAGATCGTCAGTACCTTAACCCACCCCTCCACCGC